GGGGGGGGCGGGCCCGCCGCTGCGCGTTTCTGTGTGGTGCCCCTCGACGGCCTCCCGGTGGCTGTGCTGAGGTGGGCCGAGGAGGAAGGTGGTGGCTCCTCTCTGCTGGGAGGAAATGCACGGATAAGCAAGCAGCGTTGTGTGTCTCTTGAGAAGAAGCCCCACAGCCTGCTCCTTTCCTCACAAAAGCATTACAGAAATAAGTTGTAAATTGCATTAAATCTGCCAGCTCTGTGGACAAGCTGCCAGCCTCTGCCTGGGCCAGGTTTTATTCAACCAGAGAAGCAATGTGTTTGAACAGGCAACCATTGTGCCCACGATTTGCAGACCTTCCACTTGGAAGCCCCTTGGCTGCTCCCAGCCTCCTGCAATGTGGCTGGGAGCAATGTGGCTCCCGCAATGTGGCTTCTATAGAGACTATGGAAGTATAAACAGATGCACTGCCAGATTTACAACCCGTATCGCTCTGTCGTGCCTACCACGTGCCCTCTTCTCCTTCTTGCCCAGCTGCAGGCGCTCCTGTGACGCTCCTAAATGGTGGTTCACAGTGTTCGCAGCACCCTGGTAATTAAGGTGCACGTTGTGAAGGCTTTACAGACTCATTAACTTGTCATGCTTGAATGCAGTTGCTTCAGAAAATAAAAGATTAATTACTAATTTTAAAATGTTCATGACTTCACCTCACTGCTAGCTATGATTAATAATGGTGACTAATCATCAAGCAGTCAGATTTGACTAATTCTACAGAAACTTTTTATAAGGTACAATAGCTTGTTCATATTTGATTTTGCTGACTCTTGGGGAATATAAAATTAACACTAGTCAACATCCTTAAAATATCTATTGGAGAGTCTCCTGCAGAGTTTAGAAATATTATGTACTTTGTTATTCATAGCTGCTGTGTGACATCTTACTAGGCTGAGTACAATTGTTGCATATGGTCTGCTTAGAAAAATGGATCTCCAAAGAATTTCTTTCTAGGCTCCCCCAAAAAAAGATGATAGCGTCAGTTTCCAAAGAAGGGTCTGAGATTAAGTGAAAAATGAACAAAAATGAATTGTTGCAAACAAGGATATTCTACAAGCAATTCATAAATGTAATCAAACTCTTAAAAATGATAAAGCAAACTAAAATCATATTCCACATGAAAGTATGTTTAGCTTTTTAAGTCAACAGTGTCTATCGGTAGATAGCAATGTGTGGCTCCTGGGTTACAGTTTATGCAACTGTATGAACTGGCTTCACTTTCTTTATGAAGAGGTGGAAATAGTCAATTGGCATAGCTATTCCAGTTGATACAAAATATAATGATGTATTTCTTCTTAAAGATTTCCTAACTTTTATTAAAATACTAAGCAATATTGGCATAAAGCTGTTGCTTTTAAACATGTTTAAAAAAAAAACCTTAAAACATTTACATTGAATTCTTAAAAGTATGTCTTGAGCTTGCAAATAGCTGGTTACCACCTGAAATTATGGCTTTCAGTTTCTACGTTTTATTTTCTGTATGAGGCACACAGAAAGTGTGCTCACTTCTTTTGTGGAATGTATGTAGAGCTACTAGAGCCCTTAAGGGTAGACGTGCACTGTTGTTTAAAACAACAATAAAAGTAGTCATTCTGACTGTGTTTGGGTTGTCATCGTTTCTTGCAGTTATTGCTTCTAAGCAAGAAAGACCATAAAAACAGTGTTTTAAAGGAGACAGTAAGGAAATATTTAAATCAAGTCAGTATTTGACTCAAAATTGACTATGTTTTTTCCAGTATTGGCAGGAACAAAATCCTCAGCATTACTAAAGAGAAAATAGTGGAATGGTGCATGGCCTACATTGTGTGTAACTGTTGTGCATTGTGCTAGGAATGTGTTTCATAACACTTTATTTAGGAAACCAACTGTATGAATCATGTGTTTTAGACGCATACTATCAAATAACTTAACTTGAGAAAAACTAAAATTGTTGGCAAATATATTCTGAGAGAAGCAAATCTAAATCTATAGAACAAATATTAGTTATTTTTCTGAGTGGCAATGCTTCCTAAATATATCATGAATAGTTTCTGAAGTTGTTTTAAAGTGTTTTAAAGCAAATAATCTTTCCTTCAATTGAACATACGCTGTTTGTTCCATTTGTCATTGGATATTTTTCTTTCTTTCTGTTTAAACAAAATTGGCAAGATATTTTTCTCCATTCTTTTAAAACATGGAGGAAAACTAGAAACTCATGTATTGCCAGAATGTGTGACTCTGTACATGTATTCAGAGTTTATTACTCTTAATTCAATGACTATGAGTTTGCAGAGGAAACGTGTCAGAGACCCAAAAATCACAGCTTCACCATAAAGATTCTCCCAGTCGGTCCTTCGGCATGACCCAGGTGTGCATGCAGGAGTACATCCTACATGTGGTAAAACAAAAGCTTCCTTTTGTTTCCCTATTTGTGTAGCAAACGCCTAGTGGTTGCCTAGCAGTCATGTTTTTAAAATCTTTGTTTCTATGCAATCTTTGTTTCTATGAAATGTTCGTATGCAGACCACAGAGAACTCTGGTCAAGGGTAAAACAGGCAAGAGTTCTACTAATGCAGTTGTTATTGTGGTAAGAAGAAATGAGTCCTGTATGAAAATACCTGCTGTTAAGGCTTTTTTTACCTGCCCCCCTCATGACACTGTATTGCAGAATGTGTCAGGAATGTGTCCCTAAATCCCAGGAGTCCCCATCTGGCTTCTTCCTGCGAGCCTTGCTCATCCGTGGAATGTTTTGTTTGTATCATTGCGCCTTTGCAATCAGCCTCAGGGCCTTGCAAGGAGACTCCTTCCACCCCCCAAATCCCCAGTGCCGGAATCAGCAAGTTTGTTTTCCGAGTTACTGTGAGCAGAGACAGTTGTGCCTCTCTGTTATGTTTCTTTTTTTCCGAGCACGTTAATAAGCATGCAATCTAGAGAAAAAGAGCTGGACTTTCAGACCGCGTGTGGTACCACAACTGACAAAGAGCCTTGGGTGGCTGTGGACTCAGAGGTGAAATGTCCTCTAAATAACTGTGAGCTACAAAGCAGCAGGAGGATAAGCAATATTCAACCTGTGGGAAGGTTAATAGCAAGATGCTACGAGTCTCTGTCTTGGGACTGATTCATACCAAACTCTATTAAGGGTTTATAAGTGTAGATGAATAGTGAGTTGACAGAAATTGCTAGTGAAATAGGAACACAAGGAGCTTAACAGATGCCAAGGCAGGTGAAACTTCAGTTTTGGGAAAGGCTAATGAGCCTTGTAAAAGGTGTTCAGAATCAGCCCTTGTGTGTCACATTTTTCATAGGGCTGATGGAGTGAAAGCGAGTTAAGTTACTGAGACAGACAGGGAGGGGAGAGCTATGGAGCACCTGGAGAGAAGTCCAGAGTAATTGACGGGCTGGAAAACTCTACCCTCCGAGAAAAGCAATATAGATGAAACTCACTGAAGGA